TCTCTCTCTCACTCTCACTCTCTCTCACACACACACACACTCACCACACACTTAGGTATGATATTGTTGTCTGTGTGCCCCTATCCCCCCATTCCCACTATAAAGTGACAAGGATTGTCCCCACCCCTGTCCTCTCTCCACATTTCCTAGTTTTTATGCCACGGGACATTTTTCAATGTAATATCATCTACGTCATTTCACAAGTGCCTAAAGTCTTGTTTTTCTAAGTTTTAAGGAAATTAAGAGAGGAAATACCAAATGAAAACCATGACTTGAGAACTGGTTATTTTCCAGTTTAAAATGTGGAAAGAAATTATGACGAAACCAAAATCAAACTACACTATGAGTGTCTGTGAGATCTTCTTTAGTGTCTAGATTTGAATAATAACAGCTTTGTCTGAGAATCCCCAGAAACTGACTTGAGCCTTTGTGGATTGACGTTGACGATGTATGTTGTGAGCATGGCTTCTCCGAGGTCTGTCTAGTCGCAGTGATCTCCCTTTGGAACTGGCCAAAAGTGTTGTAGAGATCCCTGTCTCGGTCTTTCTGCCAGGTTGTTGCATCCCTCTCAGCCTAGTTTGTCCCCGACAGGCAGGGTCAAAACCTGTCTCTTAACACTTTGCCATCACAAGGCTCATATAGCAAAAACTCTTGCCATCAAAAGCAAAGGCACTTTGGGGAAAATTTAAAAAAACTGGGTGGTAAACATCGCCGATCGGCGAGATGAGGCCGCAAAGTGTTAAATGATCTAAATTGTGTTGCTGAGGGCGTAAAACACGTACATTTTGTGACAATGTCAGGATGGGTCCCTCTAGCCCTTGACAACATGTCAAAAGCTCTGACCATAGACTCTCCACATGGCAGCTTCCGAGCACAACTTTTGGTTTTATATTTCATCTTTTACACGTGGGCTTCTGCCTTACTCAAGCGACTGTTTTCCCACTCAGTGTTATGTCCTTATGCAGTTGCAAGCGCCGTAAAACCTCGCAAAAACAGAACAAAAATGAGTTTTATGTTGTGGCCGTGCGGAGTTCAAGGAGGGCAGAGGAGGGATACCTAACACTGTGTTTGTCAACCTTTGTATCGCCAGCACCCACATTTGTATTTGTCGTTCCTCCGGCCTACATTTTATTTTTCAAATGGGGCATTTAATAATACATTTATGTACCTGTCACTCCCCGGGTGATCCCCACCACCACCTGCCAAATCACCCACTGGTGGCGATACCGCCAACACCGGCAAGCACTGCCCTACATTAGGAGATGGCTCCTTTTCTCCGCCCTAACTGTGTCAGTGTATGTGTGTGTGTGTGTGTGTGTAAGTATAGATGTCTGTCTGTGTGTGTGTGTGTATGTGTGTGGACCTGGTCTGTGTATGTAGGTATACATGTCTGTGTGTGTGTGTGTGTGTGTAGGTATAGATGTGTGTGTGTGTGTATGTAGGTATACATGTCTGTGTGTGTGTGTGTGTGTGTGTAGGTATACATGTCTGTGTGTGTGTGTGTTTTAGTACTCTGTTATTGTCCTTCTTTTCGTTCCTGGAAACCCGATTTGTCATTGTAACATTTTGTCTGGCAATAATTTTTCAGTGGTGTGTGTATGTGATAATTTGCTTTTTGTATATAATTTTTTTTCTGCGAATTGTGAATGTGTGTGTGTGTGTGTTTGTGTGAAATTTTGCTTGGTCTATATTTTTTCGCAATTTTTGTGTAACATTTTGCTTTTTGTATATTTTTCAGCGAATTTTGTGTTTGTGTATGACATTTTGCTTCTCATTATGTTTCCGCCATTTGTGTGTGTGTGTGTGTGTGTGTGTGTGTGTGTGTGTGTGTGTGATCTTACTTGTGCATATTTTGGTTCTTGTCATTTTGTGCATGGTGAATGTGGTAGATAGGTAGGTTGGACTAACGTTACAAACGATGATGGCCCATGACGTTACAAAGGATGACACACGACTCTTTCCAGTCTCTGTGTCACTTCCTGTGGTCAGTTTGTACCGAGAGTCGGTTCCAAGTTCCTTCCCCTGATGGGTGGCAGACATCTGATCTGCCGTTTCCCCAGCATCCTCTTCCACCTCTTCCTCAACTGTGATAACTACAACCTGGCTCCCCTTTTTTTTTTCTT